GGCCGGGGGGGGGGGGGGTGCTGAAATGTAAAAGAAATCAATGTATGAACTATATTCATGTATCACAGACAGTCAAAATATGACATTATATATTGAATATGCAGGTAAAAAAATATATTAAAGAGCATATACTTGCATAAAAATGGATTAATAATTTATAATAGTACTAAAGTAGAAACAGAAATGCAAAATCAATTCACTTCAGTAGACTAGTGGGATAATAAATAATAGTAAAAGAAATCTGGGACCCAAAAAAAATAAATGCCCAAGCCCCTGTTTGGCCCCCATTCTCCTTCTCTTTTTTTATTTTTAACCACACAATCTTCCATAAAATAATATTACACGCAAATCAAAAAAAAATCTTTCTTTTTCAACCACACATTTTTCAAAAAAACACTATTCCAACAATTAAAATTTTGAAAGAATGGGGGCCAAACGGGGGCCAAATATTCTTTAGGTATATCAAAAATTTCTTCGCCTTTGTGCATTTGTCAGGGATCTGATTAAATCTTGAAATGTGAATGATATGATAAGCTGTGATAGAATGATATTTAAAACATAAAGGAATGCAACCAAGTGAGAAAAAATTGTCATTGCTAATTATAAATAAGAATTCTACAAGAGGGCACATATGCAAGAAGAAATGCATTTCAGAGGGCAGAAACCAAATATTCAGAAAACATTTTTTTTTGCGAGAGCCAATAGAATCTCAATTTAACACTAGAAAAAGAAGTAGAAATACAGATGAGAATTAACCATAACCAAGAAAGGCATTGAAAAGTGAAAACTGTTCAGCCAAACATCACTCAGAAATTCTATAAGTGCAACTCTAACACAGTGTTTAATGTAGAATGAAATAACGAAAAAACTAAATTAAGAATAAATCTATTCTTGAACCATCCTAAAATTTGCGTCAAAAGGAAGCCAAAAAGCACTACTCTATTCGCAAATTAAGTTGGGATATACTGATGTCCAAAGATTTTGGGGATTTCTTTATTAACAAATGCTCCAAGTAATTAACATCAATGCATTGCTCTGTTATATTTTATAACCATCAACCTCATTGTAGAACTCCCAGAAACAGCAGAAACATCTTATGCTCCAAGAAGGAGGGAGAATGCCTCACCGCAGATATGAAACAATATTTTCAAGGTTTGTCCGCAAGATTGCCAAATAAATGACTTGTATAGTTGTATTCAGTGCAGTTCATATTCTATTCTGAACTAATTGTATAATAAACCCTAAACCCTATTGTAATTTTCAAGTACGCGAAAATATCCTAAGATCAAATCCCTTACTCAAAGGATAAAGTACACAAAAAGCAAAATCTATTCCAATCATTATAAATAATGGAATACGCCAATAAAACTCCACAAAAAATAAAGCAGGATTTTCAAATTTCATATCTTGAAGGAAAAAAACATTTTAAAGTTCCATCATTCATACTTACTGAATTGCAATTGATTCACCTCAAATGTTGCGGTTGATTCTGGAAGCAGAAAGAAATAGGCAAGGAAGAAAGAAATTGGGATTCGGGGTACAGTGTGGAGAGGAGACGACCAGTGGCGGGACGAGCCAACGAGACAGCTGGGAAGAGTTGTGAGCATGGTGATTTGGGTTAATTTGGGTTTTGGCCCATATACAGTGGGCCTATGGGCTTTTTTAACTAGACTGGGCTACGCCCGTCCTCTGTGAGAGTGTAGACGCTGGAAAGAGACTCGTGCTAAGAATCTCAATGGACCGAGCGCGACCAGTGTTCACTTTCGGAAGGAATACATAAGGGAAAAATATAAGGGCCTGTTTGGGCCCGATTTTTTCACCTAAAAAATTGATTTTTTGACTTTTATTTCACTATTTCAGCCGTCATATTTGACTTCATCTCTCAGAGGTGGATCCCATTTTTTTCCTAACGGTCAAAAAATCAATTCTCAAAATTACTCCCAAACAGACCCTAAGTAAGAGGTTAAATACCACACATTTCAAAATCAAAAAAATAAGTTTCAAACTTCAAAAATTAGATTTTTATTAAAACTTATTTATGATTTGATTAATCAATTTATTTATTTATTAATTAAATATATTTAGGTCACGGATCTATACAATTTGGTCACAAATTAACGATTGAGTTAATCACTTATTATTTTTTGATCACAAATCAGAAGTTCTCTGTCACAAATTATTTTATGATCACAGTTCAAAAAAATTATGTCACAATTTGTTCATCAGTCACAAATCAAAAAATTTATAAGTCACGATTTATTTATTGGCCACAAATCACAAATATTATAAGTCATGACTTATTGTATAATTACAAAATATGAAATTATCGGTCACAAATTAACAAATTTTTATGTCATTATTTTTTTTTCACAATTTATCTTTTTATTTGGTCACATATTGTTTATTGGTAACAAATTAACTAATTTAATGGTCACAGTCAACCAAATCATTTGTGACCACCAACTCACCACTGTCATCAACCGCACATATTATATCTTGATCACAAATCGCAAAGTTTACAAGTCACAACTTATTTCATAATCACAAAATATCAAATTAATTGGTCAAAATTATTTCTCAATCACAATTTAATAAAATACGAATCACGATCACATTATTTCTTTGACACATATTAATCAATTATTTGTCACAATCAACGAAATAATTGGCGTAAAACATTCCGCACCACAATATCCAATCCCACCTACTATCACAATCTTTGCACCACCACCTCGACAACTATCACCACCGCTATATTCATCACCATAATTAGCACGAGATCCACCAACAACATCCTACCTACTACCACAACCTCTGTACCATCGCCACGAAGACTACCACCACCAGCTCTAGATATACCACTACCAGCACGGATCCAACAACACCATCGCCAATAAAATGCCCCCAACCTCACCAAAACCATGAAAATCGCACCAATAACCAACAAAACCCAACCAACTCTGGCTTGACAGCCATGTCTCACGTCCAAAAATCACCTTAAAAAATCATCTCAAACCATGGCAACCACAAGCAACAATCAAAAACCATGGTCGATGCTGGTACACAAATCAATACAAATCACAAACAATGGCGACACAACACCTCTACGAGCTGCGTGTGGCAGCATATCCTCTTCTACATTGGTTATGAGCGGCGACCTCGCATCGACGAATGATGGGAGATATGGACGCAATTGCAATCCACTTCAACGGAAGAGAGCGATGTCACCGTAGAGATAAGTGCTGGTGCGAGGTTGCATCGTGTTGTCTTGCACTGCCAAATTAAAGAGGGGTGGTGACTCTGTAAGTGGTTGTGGTAGGTAGAGATATTGAGAAAAGAGAAGATGGAGAGAGGGAAAAGATATAGGAAATGATTTTTAGGGTTTGGAAAGAAATTGAATTGGGAGGGGGAAATTGATTAGAGTTTGGGTTGAAAATTATATATTTAATATTTAAAGAGGAAATATCTTATTTGTGAAATGTGAAACTTCCCTCCTAATTTTAGAACACAGATCTTTAAATGTAGGGTGGGATGTAAATTCCTCAATACATAAAAAGGCCTTAGTATACCCTATTTATTTTGTTCTTGTTTGAGCCTCATTTTTTACATTAAAATACATTCTTTAATAGTGATTTAACTACACTTCAACCACACATTTTCAATAAATTTTTTAACCACTCATTTTTTATCAATACACTATTCAAAAATACATTTTTTTGACAAGAATGAGGCTCAAACAAAAGGTAAGAACAAACATTAAAAATTCAAAACTCAGGTTTTTAATTAATAAATATTATATGTAAAATAAATTATAATAAATACACACCCTAAAATAACTGTTTCACAGTTACTACTCCAAACGAACCTTTCCAAAACGACAAAACAAAGTGTAAAGATCGAGCAAAATAGAAGAGCCACAAAGAACTCCCTAGATCAAATATTCTCCATTACTAACTTCGAAATATGATTGTTTGAAAATAATTAGACCATTAAGATCACAAATTGAAAGGTGTCAAAAGATCATATGAAGATAGACACTATGGAGAACTCGCTGGAGCGAATAACTTCGATTCTCATCGTCGAAATCTGACCAATTGAAGTAAAAAATTGGAAGTTGTCAACATTGTGTAGTAAAAATATCTAATAAGAGAGAATCTAAAGAGAACATGCTAGAGCAAATAATTTCAATTCTTATCATCAAAATCTCATTATTGGAAGTTGCAGCACTGTGTGTCAAAATTTTAGGAGGCAATAGTAACAACTAAGGTAGGAGAAATCAATGGCATATGATCAGTTCTCTTGAATTTTTTACTTATGCACTATGAAATGTGACTTGTAAACTGTTAAATGTGATACTGATCCAATATCCTATGATCAGTTTCTCTTGAATTTTTGACCTTTGGACATTAATATGTTACCTATGTAATATAACCTCTAAATTGTTACATGTAACACATAAACTATGGCTTGTGAACTTGAATATGTGACATGTTATTAGTACACAAAGACATTCGACATGATTTGTGATCAGTTAATTTTGATCTGTGACATACACAATATGGTCCGTGACATGTGGAGTGTGACTTGTGACATGCAAACATGATATGTGATCAGTTCTGTTTAATTTGTGACCTATGTACAATGACCTATGGTAGTAGATGTGATATGTAATATATGAACTATAACCTGTGATATTGATCTAATGTCATATGACTAGTTCTTTTGAATCAGTGACATACGACCAATGCACTATGACATGTGACCTTTGAACTATTTTATATGATTTATCAGAAAAAAATATGAACATCTACATATTAGTATAATTGCATCAAATCTACTAGGTAGGGATGTCAAATGAGCCGCTCGGTCGCTGGACTCGTCGAAATAGAGCTCGTGGGCGGCTCGAACTCGTAAAATCATGAGCGTGAGCCGAGTGGGCCTCGTCGGGAGGCGAGCCGAACTGGCTCGTGGCTCGTTTGCTCGGCTCGTGGCTCCTCTAGTTTGAGTGACCAAAACGGTCACTTTTTAAATAAAGTGACTGTTTTGGTCACTTTTTAAATAAAGTGACCGTTTAGGTTACTGAATTTATCTTTTCTTCTATTATAAATACTCCCTTAACTCCTCATTTTTTTCATATCAATTATCTCCTCATTCTCACTTCTCACTTCTCATTTCTCTTTTATATCAATTATTGAGTTTTTATTCTCTTATGCTATTGTGCAAAATATCGATTCATTTTTTACAATTTATTCAGTTAAAATTTCAATTCATCAAATTCTCAATTCTCACTATATTTATATTTTTACTAGTTATTATATTTGAGTTTCATCATAAACAATCAAACAAATAGATCAACGCTCATTTGTTGAGAGCTTATTCGATACAGGACGTGGGCCACATGGCAAATTGCTTAGGATGCCGCAAAGTCAATTTTTAAATGAATTTTTCGATCTAAATGAGGTACCCATACCTGAAGATGTTCACATTCACAATCATGGAAGCCGCAATCCAATTGATTTGGATGATATTAACGTCCTTGAAGCGGAACATGAGAACGAAGATACCGAATTAAACATCCCAGATGCGAGGGGAAAGCGAAAGAGCAAAAAAAAAGCAAAATGTTGGGATCACTTTAAGTTGATTTCAATGGGAAAAGTCGTCGATGACCTTGCAGAATCTAAGTCAGTATGTAAATACTGCCAACAAAAATTGGCAGGGCAAAAAGATATTGGTACAACCCATCTCAACCGCCACTACAAAGCATGTGCGGCAGACATAGACTTCTTCCAACTGGTCAAACACAATTGCAATTTGACAGTTCGGGCGTCGATTCTACGACTTCACCCCTATCCACGTGGTGTATTCGAAGAACAATACTTGAACCGGTTGTTGTCGCCACTGAGTTGCCTCTGGCTATTGTCGACAACCAACTCTTCGTCTTGTTCATGAAAGGATATCTGCAACCAAAGTATATTGGGGTAAGTCGAAACACTCTTCGTGTCGATACAATACAATATTTCAATAATTCAAAATAATAATTAATTATGAATTTGCAACAATATGAGGGTGTTATATCTTTAACTTTCATATATGGGAATGGGTTAATAAAAAAGTATATATAACTGTAACCGCACACTATATAGACTCATTTTGATGCATGCATAAAAAAATTATTATTTTTAGAATTATTGAGTTTTCTCACAATGCTAATAATATATATAATGTTATTATCAGTACTGTTAGAGAATATAATTGCGACACTAAAATTCTGTCCTTTATTTTTAATAATGCTAGTGTTAATAAGGTAGTCGTCGATAAATTGTGTAGGGTACTTCAACCTGATTTTGGTGGATATTTATTTCATATTCGTTGTGTGTGCCATATCTTGAATTTAATTCTGCAAGATGACTTAAAATATATAAATGATGAACTTCAAAGGATTGGGAACACATTAGTATATATTATGATCTCTCCTATTAGAAAACAAGTATTTGAAAATTTTTGTGCCAAACTAGGGGTGACAACTACTGAAATATTTGTTAGCGATGTAAGCCATAGATGAAACTCTATTTACTTGCTATTAAAGTCATATGAAGGTTTCGAACATTTAATAACTGACTTTTATAACAATAGACACGTTAAAAGCGATGACGATAGCATGTTGAATGAATCCGATTGGGTTTTAGCTTTGAAAGTTAAACGTTTTTGACATTTTTTTTATGAGACCACAAAGATTTTGTTGAGCGTTTATTATCCCACAAGTTGTATGGTGCTTGAACGCCTTTATATAATTGTATGAACATTCCATAAATATAAAAATGATTCTGATTTTAGGGAAATTATAATTGTTATGGAATTAAAGTTTAGAAAATATTGGGAAGAACTGCCTATGTTATTTCCTTTAGCATGCGCAATGGACCATCGATATAATATTTCGGGAACTAAATACGTAATTAACCAAATCAATAAAGTCTTAATACTTGATACACCTATCATCTATAAGAATTTATAACAAACATTATGTGGAATGATTTATATGCGAAAAGAAAGGGTGCGAATGTTAGTCGGGTACCCTCTACACCTACTCCTTTGATTGAAATTGAAGAAGAAGATGCCGAAATAATAAATTTATTTCAAGGCATTAACACATTTAGATATAATGCAACTGCAATGTGTTCATCTAGTACCATGTCGTCTACATTTGCAGCTCATCAAATATCGGCCGTAACGCAAAATGCGATGCCTACTGAATTAATTGTTTACTTCAATTATGATATGTCAATAGAGAGAACAATTAAGAAAATTTCAGAAAAAGTAATTGAATTCTGGTATAAAAGACGTTGGCCAATTGTTTCTGCAATTGTGAAAGATCTAATGACACCTCCGGTTAGTACTGTTGCTTCGAAATCTGCTTTTAGTGTAGGTGAAAGAGTTTTGACTGATGACAGGAGCCGACTGAAAGAAGATATTTTAGAAGCGTTAATGTGCGTAAATGATTGACAGGACGCTCATTTTCGACTATAAGATAAATATACAGAAATTGCATGTCGTCAGGTAAGTAAGATTTGATTTAATTATATTAATCAAAATTTTCTTATTTTTTAATCTTTAAATTTAATTTTCTTTAAAAATTTGTACACGTTACAACAAGTTATTCGTGTACAATTTTTAACTTCGCCTATTTAAAATTGATATGGCCGATCCCAAACCCGGATAAAGGAGGAGGGTTTACATTTTATCTACTTTAAAAAGAAATCGAAAAAATGTATTTCAAAAAACAATTCATCTTCATTACATAAATATTTTTTTACTTTATAAAAAATATTATAATATGATAGAAATAAAAAAAAAGTATCTTCATTAAATTATTTGTATTTTTTTAACACTTTTAATTTTTTTTAAATGTCTTTATTAAATTATTTGCGTTTTTCTATACTTAAAAAAAAAATTGACGAGCTCACAAGTTAAAGCTCGGCTCGGACCACGAGCTCGTCCAAAATCAACGAGCCACGAGCTCGGCTTGCCATGAGCGCGAGTCGAGCTCGTGAGGTTAAGGGCCGAGCCGGTTCGATTCGGCTCATTGACATCACTGCTACCAGGCGAGTGGTCGACCTCGAAAGGACATGGAGAGTAGGGGAGTAGAAGTGAATGGACGCATCGATTGAAAGAATGCAATGCCAACGGTGGCGATGTTGAGCTGTACAGTGGAAGGAGAAGGAGAAGGAGAAGGAGAAGGAGAAGGAGAAGGAGAAGGAGAAGGAGAAGGAGAAGGAGAAGGAGAAGGAGAAGGAGAAGGAGAAGGAGAAGGAGAAGGAGAAGGAGAAGGAGAAGGAGAAGGAGAAGGAGAAGGAGAAGGAGAAGGAGAAGGAGCTGGGAAAATAAGCTTGGGGAGATGGATGGACGGGAGCAAATGGTAGAGGAAAGAGAAAGGGTGCGATTGATGTGAAGGAAATAAATGAGCCATCGACGGTGGCGAAGGGCAGATATTCTCCCCGCACGGGGAGGATTGATGGAGTGAACTAGGGTTTAAGAGTTTGGGAGACCATAAGGAATTCAACCAATTTTCACCATTTCAATTGCAATTGAAGTTTATATTTTTGGAAATTTCATTAAGCTTTTGTGAATTTCAAGTTATCATCCAACTTAAATAATAACAATAAAATTGATCTGGCACAAACTTATTAAAATGTTATCACATTCATCATCTAATTAGACCGAATAATGGATAAATAAGACTTTAGTGAGTGCTTCAATTCCATTGATTTTTAAAGGGCAAACGACAGAGTAACGAATGTGTTAACATTTTTGATATATTCTATGGAAATTTTGAAAACTTAAAAATTAACAATAATTGAGAAACAGGTCAAAAAGTTCAATAACAAGCAGAACATTTAACAAAAACGATTTCTCGAGATGCAGTTTTCATGAAATTGTTTAATATATAACCATAGAAGAAGGAGAAAGCATTTAGTAGAGTAGGTTTTGCATACACTTTGTCCTTGTTTGGCCTCCATTTTTTAATATTTATTTTTCTAAACTCATTTTTATTGACACATTTCATCTGACTCAGAAATCTTATCAAGTCTTTAATTGTATATTTCGTAAAATTTATCAAAATCTACAGGCAGTAAAACATTTAATAATTTTCATACCAATAATGTATATTTGTTTTGTTATTACTATAAGACATCCTTTTGCAATTCAAATTCCCTTACTAGTTCTTGAATTATTGAAAGGGTACTTCTTTAATCGGATACTAAGGGTTATAGGCCATTAATAAAGGTGATCTTTCAGTGGATGACTCGAAGTTTTCTTTATCATCTTCGTCTATCATGCATGTGAAAGGTTCGGACCGAAAGTGGCAAAAGAAATTGAGATCTCACCAATACCAATGCACATGCAGCTGGCCTATTTTCCTTTATTTATTTATAGAAAATTAGAAACCAAATGGAAGATTCCACGATTCATCACCCATGTGTAAACCTATGCGTTAAATTCAAGAAAGTATGCGTAATATTTTTTTTATAGTTGCAGTAATAGAGTACTATCCCAGTTCCCCATTTCCTGGATCTTCAAGAAAATCCCACATTTTCTTGAAAAATAAGATCGCATTTGTATTTCGTGGTGGAGATTATGAGGGAAGGGAGGTCTTTAGAGGAAACTCCAACATGGTCTGTTGCCACAGTCACTACTGTAATGGTTTTTGTATGTTTATCCGTTGAAAGATCCATTTACCGATTTGGAAAGGTGAGTTAAACGGGTCAGTGAGTGAGGTTCTTGAACTGATTTATTTGGGTCCCTTTTTGCAGTTTTTTTCATTGTTTTTGTGCTTGTGATTCAGTGGTTGAAGAAGACAAAAAGAAAAGCTCTTTACGCTTCTCTGGAGAAGATTAAGGAAGGTACAAAATTTGATGCATAATAAACTATCCATTGAATTTATTAACTTGCTTATTTGTATTGCCCTGTTTGGTCATTAAATAGATTTTGAGGGGTTCAGTTGATTTGGTTTCTCTCATTGTCTTATACTATGTGAACTGTGAATTGAAAATTTTTAACTTGTCAAAATACAATTTATCTTTTCTTTTATATTCTATTGTTTTGTTTTGAGTCAGAGTTGATGCTGCTTGGGCTTATTTCTTTGTTACTGGGGCAATGGGCAAGGTGGATTTCTCAAATTTGTGTGAATTCCTCCCTCTTCAACAGTAGATTCTTCGTTTGTTCCGAAGAAGACTATGGTGTGATGAAGAGAATGTTGTCCACAGAAGGTTCTCACTTTTCAAACGAAACCGATATTCCTCCGAAAGGAATTAACAATGCAGCATATCATGGGTGCGGTGAGGTACGTGATGCATTCTCTGAATACATTTTTCAGGGTTTACTCTTAAGGGCTTCTAACTTGACGTACAAAATTTCAGGGTCGTGAACCTTTTGTTTCTGCTGAAGGTCTTGAACAACTTCACCGCTTCTTGTTTGTTCTGGGATTTACTCATGTTCTGTATAGTTGTTTAACCGTTGCCTTATCTATGAGCAAGGTACAGTTTTCGTATCCATTTGCTAAAGATTACACTTGGAGTTTGTTTATTCAACAATGAGATTCGGGAAATTATTTGTCAAATGGACGTGGTCGTAGATATACAGCTGGAGGAAGTGGGAAACTCAAGTGATGTTTGTGGCTGATGGGAATGCCCAAGGTGAGTGAAATCATTATTATGATTTTGAAATGTTCTTCAAATATTGAAGTGTTTAGTGAAAGACATAAACGGTCTTGTATTTTTAATTAACTGGAGATCATGCCTAAACCTCGTTGTTTTCTGTACTTCTGTTTCTAGATTAATGAATTTCAATTTTTTTGAGAAGAAAATGGTTAAACTAGTTTCTGTAGTTTGACCAGTTTCCCTATATTATTTATTCCACTCATTTGCTAACCAATTTTGTTGAAAATAAGATTTAAATTATATACATAGGGATCTAGCAAGTAGTAACTTAAACTTTTAGATTAGGTCAAGTGGTTGAAGATGGTATCACAACAGGCAAAGGTTGCAGGATTTAGATGACATTTGAATGATATACGTTTAACCTTTTCTAATAGCTTAAACTTTTAAATCATTAGATTTAAAAAAAAAAAAAAAAAAATTAAGTTGATTGCTTTTATGCGCAAACTTACTTAGTTCTCATTGCGCCACATTTCTTAACTGTGAATATTGGTTGCTGATTTTGTTTCATGACAGCAATGAACAGAGTGATGAGGCGGCAATCAACCTTTGCGTTGCATCATGCATCACATCCATGGAATAGGAACCGTGTTCTGATCTGGATGGTAATAGTTCTTCCTATTATTAAGAATATATCATTAACAACTAAAATATTATTATGAGAATGGTCTATATCTGTTTAAACAAACATGAGAAGAATTTAGCAAAGTATTTTCGTAGTGAAACTCCCATGATTTTTATTTTCCCAAAATTTTGTCTTGGAAACATTTAATACCAAATCAACTCTCTCCCCATTTCTTGTTTTATCTTTTCTTCCATTTGTGTGTGTCTACTCGATTTTTCACATTTGTAGTTAGAAGTGCTGCACGGTAATAATAATCTTCTTAAGCCTTATCGAGCTTATTCATTGTTTCAATCATCAGTATGTCCTAACTAGTGTTTCCCTCCTACCCTCTTGATTAATTATCATTTGCTGAAGTTTATTCTGTGGCCTCCTTTACAGCTTTGCTTTGTGAAACAATTTAGGCATTCAGTACGGAAGTCAGATTATTTGGCATTGCGATTGGGTTTCATCACTGTGGGTATTCATCTCTGAAACTGTATATTGTGTTATTGCTACACAACTCAAGTATTGGATAAGAAATCCACAATGACTGGTTCCATGGAAATTGCAGAATCACAAATTGCCTCTGTCCTATAATTTTCATAAATATATGGTGCGCAGTATGGAAGATGAATTCTATGGAATTGTCGGGATCAGGTAATGCAATTTTTAGCATCAATGCTATTGATCTGCTGTTTTAAATTGTGAGCACCGTAGTCTAAAACAAACCTAGCAATGCATTGAACATAGTAGATATGAAAGTTATTTGTGCACATTGATAGATTTGTTTAGAGTATGTTCATCACATTTAAAATGGTATAGAAGTTTGAATTTCTATATTTTTCGGATTATGCAGCTGGTCGCTTTGGAGTTATGCCATACTATGCATCGTCGTAAACATTCACGGTAACAAATTATATCATAACAAGAATGCAAAATATTTGAATGCCGGTTCCGAACCTGAACATTTCTTACGCTGTAGGTCTTAATATTTACTTTTGGCTGTCATTTATACCCGCCATTGTAAGTCTTTCCAAGTTTCCTTGTCGTTACTGAGACAACCTTAATTCCGTTGTTTTATGTTTCTGATGTTCGTCATTCAATATGATGAAGCTTGTCATGTTGGTGGGGACGAAACTCCAGCATGTTGTCTCCTTGTTAGCACTCGAAATTGTTGAACCACAAGGGCCTTCCATTGGAGCTCAAGTAAAGCCACGTGACGATCTTTTTTGGTTCGGGAAACCTGAAATATTACTGCGATTGGTACAATTCATATCATTTCAGGTGATGCATATACATGCTTGTTCCAACATCAAGGTCTCTTATACTCATTTGTTTAATTCTTTGTTCTTATAAAAACTATTACTTTATGCAGAATGCTTTTGAGGTGGCAACATTCATCTGGTCCTTGGTAAAAAGAACTGTCTCTTTCTTTTTCTCATTTGCCATTGTTTTCTGATTCTTTGCCATGTAAATCTCATGAGCCTGGGGGACTCAAATTTTCAGTTTTAGTTCCTTATAAATATGGTCGTCTCTTCAATAAAGTACCTGAAACTAAACAGTTCAAAAGTAATAACTAGGAGAATCTACTATTGGAAAAGGGATTGTGTGGACAGTACTTGTAATGACTCCGGCCTGTGCCCAAGCCATTCACTTTATGTGCCATCCGCATTGGGCACAATTGATACCAAGATTCAATTTGAGTGTTTCATAAGGTCTTCATGAATCCGAATCCTGAAAAATGCTATAGAAATCTTGGAGGACAGCTTGTCTAAGTTAACGGCTTGGGCATAAGCTCGGCTCATAACAATATCAAAGAAGAAAAATAAGCTAAATCTACTTAGCCCTTATTTGAGTCTCATTCTCTAAAAACTCAATTTTTTTTCAAACTCTTTTTCAACCACACATTCTCATAATAAAATAATTATACATATAAACTTGAAATTTTTCCTACTTTTTAACCACACTTACCCAAAAAAATCACTCTTACAAAAGTCTATTTCCCCAAAAAATGGGGCTCCGACGGAGCCTTAATTGTAATGCAAGTCTGTTCATTATTGAGTATCAATCAACAATCATTGACTATAGAGGATTTTTTCTACTTGTAATGATAGTAATATCAAATAACTAATAATTTTGTGCATTTGAAAATCTTTGTTGCTTTGTCTTCATTCATGAATTTAGCATGTAACACGTGCTTCATTTTCATGTGTGTAGTGGGGATTCAAGCATCACTCATGTTTGATGAAAAATCATGCAATGATCGTCGTTCGACTGAGTTGTGGGTACGTTTTTTAATTTTCCCTATTAGAAATAGAACACTTTTTATATTGTAATAAGATTGTGTTCCTCCAAACATGAGGACATCTTAAAACCTGATTTTGAATCAAAAGGTTGTAACATAGTTGGAGTCCTTTCAAATGTAGATGTTTACAAAGTTCGTAGGAGAAGCAACATATTCTATTGGATCATAACATGTAGAGAAAATTGTACTATTGACTAAATAGCAAGTTGGACCCCAATCTTTCAAAAAAGTTGCACACTCAATCTAATGGAAATCGTCCAATTCTCCATAAAATTGTCTAGTGATCCTTGCAACTATATGAACCTAAATAATGCTTTACAAATTGGGCTGATGTCTAAAATTTTGAGGTGAGGCATGTTTTTCACGGAGTCACATGACAACGAAGATTTGAGTAGTATCCGTCGATGGGGCTGAATGTGCATCTATCAAAAAAGGTTGGGGACTATCTTGTTATTAGACAAGAAGTTGGGGAACAATCATGCAATTTACTGAACATTCATATAGGACTCCTGGATGATATTTGCTTTTTAATTTTACTACATGCAGGGTTATTGTTCAATTCTGGTGTAGTTATAGTATTGTTCCTCTGAATGTAATCATCACACAGGTTAGCGACCAGTGCAATTTTTTTGAATTATTCAATGCTAGCTTTGAATAATCGCAGGATATTGAAAAATTTTATCTAACTCGCATTATTATTTTTCCATCTCTTCCTTCATTATTAGATGGGATCACGTTGTAAGAAAGCCTTGATTGCTGAAAGTGTCCGAGAGTCGCTACACAGTTGGTGTAAGAGAGTAAAGGAAAGGTCCAAAACTACTAATTCAATTACTACAAGATCCACGTGTTCTCTTGAATCAACAATAGACGAGGGGGATGAGATTGTTACTGTTGCATCTGGTACATTATCTCCGTGTTCTTCATCAAACTCATTAACTGACCTTGAAACGATTGAGTTACCAAATGGACATCAAGAATGCAGTGTTGAAAATTCAATTCCAATTGAACATGCATTTTCCTTTAGAGATATGCAATGTTCATCTGAACAACTGGCAAATATTGAAGATAACAATGTGAATGTCATAGACGAGGACAAGACTAAGACACTTCTTGAGTTGCTTCAGAAGACATGAATTATTCATATATTTGTCTTCTTTCCATCTTTTCATCAGTGTACATAGAACATTTAACATTAAATAGATTCGAAAATTGATTGTTCTGAAGGTTAAGGTGTTCATCTATGCAACCTGGGATTCAATCAGCTCTATATGACAGTGCTTATCCATATTCAAATGAAAAGGAAAATTTATTTTCGTGTTTTTCTCTTGGTTTCATCAATAATTTTTTGGTAGTTTGAAAAACGACTGTGTAAATCAATTGTATTCTCTGTGTTTTTTCTCTCCCTCTTTCTTCCTTTCCTTTTTTTTGGGGAATAGAATCAATATATTTTACCTCCCTCAAAAGGAGACGCGAACCCCCAACTGATGTCTGGTAAGATTTTGCTCCTACCGCTGAATGAGATAATTTGCAACTCGGTATCTCATTTATAGAAAAATGCACTTATAGAAATATATGTACTGTCCTAAAACAATTCATTTCCTCGAGATTTTCCATTGACCTCCGAATGACAAGCTACTAGCAGAACAAACTGAACAGAAGAAAAATTCCAAATCAACATCTGTTATAAAGATGAGAAAAATAACTACATGAATCTGACATTGCGCTAGCCTTTTCCATTATAAAAACAATCGCTGGATTCTAACTTATATAACTAGACTATGGTTTTACAACCCAGAAAAATGGGGAAAATTTTCTGGGCCACCCCACAAATGAGTTAAACGTCATCCTCAAACCTCGTGAATACTTGCCAGGAACCCAATATAGGCTTCTCTTGAATTCGTATCAAATGATGTAATGAAGCTGTAATGGTTTCTCCTAGAAAGAAGAAACTAGTCACATTTGATGTTTCGGTAAATCCTCCTTACAAACATATTAGAGCCCAAGAAACCAACAGCACCTGAAATTCAATGAAAAACAACACTGGTAAGAATAATTTCATGAATGGCATGCTTATAACTTCTGCTTAATACCTATTGTCCAGGAAACAAAATCAATGAACAAATGAATATTCAAAAGTGACAAAACAAAGGCAGCGAAAGAAAAGCTTATATGAATAAACTGAATGCACTTCATACTCACCGCAAAGAATCCCTAAGCCTAGACAAAACATTAGTGTGTACCCAAAGTAAAAGCTAGTCTGGAAGAACCCTGACATCTTTGTCTTTGCGTAGTAGTAATATATCGAGTACAAGTAAACATAGACGGTTGTTGAGCCAGCGGACAAGAACGAAGTCCATTGCCAGTGATAATTCTCAGCATTTAGAAGGAAATATGTTGCCACAATTGTCACACAGACCGTAACAATAATCAGAATCACGAATACCAGCAGCAGAAAGCCATATACGTAGTAGACCTGCCAACATGAAGCAACAGAAAGAAGAATTTAACCAACCAACCAAAGTATGAACTTTAACAGATTTCCCTTTCAAATTATACATTATTGGTGCATGCCCATTTCTTTTTTTCTTTTTCCCTTCTTTTTCGGTTTTCATCTCAGATAAATTCATTTAAATCCTTCATTACCTTGTAGTTCCAGAATGAAGTGAAAACAAAATACATCTCAATGAATATGCTGCCAAAGGGAAGCAATCCACCCATCATAGAGATCACGGATGGTGTCAGGTACCACTTCTTCTCAGGAATTGGCCGCGGAATGGTCTTTACACGGCACGGATTGTCGGGAGCACCGCTCCAGTTTCTTCCAACAACTGTACCGAGAAGTGCCAAGGGGAAAGAGATAAATGCCCAGATGACAAAGACCACAACCATCGTGCCAAAGGGTATGGCTGCCAGAGACCCATAGAATATGGCAATTGTGTTCAGAATGAAGCCAATCCCAAAGCAAAGGAAAGGGAAAAGTGAAGCAGTGAGGATCATTGATTTAACCCAGTTTTTACCTACAACAAAGATGGGCAATTTAGCATAAATAGTGCAGAGGAAACGACACGAGAAGTAAGCATAAATATACAATAGGTAAACAAAGATGAGTCCCATAAACAGGTGAAGGTGGCATAAGCTGCACATACCACCATGGCGTGCATACATTCCACCACTGACATTGCCTGAGATGAATGATGTGAAAGCGTAACATATTATGAAAGTTGTGACAATAGCTCCTCTCCTGAACAATATAAAACCCAAAACCATAATAATTAACATAGCAAGTCTCCTGGTTGACACAAATGAGATGATGTAAATCCAAATAAATTTCTAGATCTGCCAACTGAAACAATTATCCTTAATCTTGCATGATATATCCATAAATGTCAACCAAAAATTATACAACAAAATGAATTCACTCACTAGAAGAGGGGCCTAAGGGAAAAGAAGTGTACTTTAATGAGTTGTGAACTAAGATAGCTGCTTACAGATTTCAAGTATTTCAGCAAAGGGTTGCATTTTTCACATACCCGATATACAACATTCCAACAATAGCATATAAGACAACAAGGAGGACTAGCAATGCTAATTGTGCGCCAGTGCCAACAAGAGCAGAGAGTAAAACTAAACTCCGGGGAGACCGAAACACATCTCCATGAACAAGTTTCCAACCAGACTCTTCACTGACATCTCTCTCCTAAAGATTAAGAATTTAAATGACCATTAGCAATGCATTTAAGAGATCATCAAGTATTTGATGATAAGATCATTACCAGGGCTTCTAGATCATCATCATCACGAGCGTATTTAGCATAATCATTTCGTAAAGTGCGCATCAAAATCATTGACACCAGTCCAGTAAGGAATATAACCATCATGAAGGAATTGAAAATGGAGAACCAATGAATCTGCAAGATGCAGAAGGTAAATCATGACATAGTACCTGATAATGAACAATTAGGCCCCGTTTGGTACCCATTCTTTTCAAAATGCATTTTTCTCTCTTTTCTTTTCAACCCCACATTCTTTATTAAAATAATATTACACGTAAATCAAAAACTTTTCCTTATTTTTCAACCACACATTTCACATCAATTTACTATTCTAAAATGTATTTTTACATAAAATGGCTCTCAAACACCCCCTTAGTAGAAGACAATAAAAGGCCTCCAGTTCCCTTTGTGCCCTGGAGATAACTGCATCCATTTAAGCCAAGAAATCAAATATATGAAAAAAAAAAAAAAAAGAAAAAAAAAAAAAAAAAAAGAAAAAAAAAATCATAGCAGAAGGGCTGGGGTTCATATGAAATGCCAAAAGATATAGAAACCAACTAAAGCACTCTTAACATCATTTTAGAACCTCCATTGAATTCTATTTTCCTTTAGCCCCCGTTTGGCCCCCATTAAATTTCATTATATTACATTCCATTTTTCTCTCTCCTAATTTTAACTACACAATCTACCATAAAATAATATTAAACGTAAATCGAACACCTTTCTTTCTTTTCCAACCACTCATTTTTCAAAAAAAATACTATTCCACCCATTTTCATTTCTAGAAAATAGGGGCCAAACAGGGGCTTAATGATATGAAATAAGAGTGCAAATATTTACCTGATGCTCAAAAAATGGGTGGTCCAGGTAAACGTCAAAACGACGTGCAAAAGAGACATCTGTGGGGATCCATTTCACTGAATATGTCATGTCTAATGTTGTTCCCACTTCCAACAGTTTTGGGCTGTCTTGGGTAAGGTTGACATGAATGATCTACAAGACAAAGATGTTAGCAGCAAAAGAACTAAACTAAAAGAAAGAAATAATAGACAACCCTGAACAGCCACAAACTCTGTCTTTGTTGTATTTCACAGTTATGCTCTTATGCGTGTAAAGCACAAGCTTGTTGTCACTATTCCTGTCGGGATACATCTCACCAACAAAACCTGTAAGAACAATGTATCAATTCAAAACATAGGTTGGCATAGAGTAAATATCTGTAAGAATAGTTCACGGAAGGCATACCCCATAAAGGCAGATCATCTGAACTTGTAGCCAGCACACCAGAAAGAAACAAAGATGAGTTCATGAATTAGATTACTTATATAATACAATGGACTTTAAAAAAATAACGTGAAAACAAAAAATATGGGACTTTTAAAAAAAAATAAAAAAAAAAAAAAAAAAAACCCAAGACAATGACAAGCAAACATACCAACAGTTAGCAATTTTTAAGTAAAAACCAATTTTTGAGTGAAAAAAGGTCAAATATCAGCAACTACCAATCAGTCATAATGATCAACAGCCGGCAGAGAAGCACAAAGAATTTAACCACTTCATTAGTTTAGGATAAATTTATCTAAGGATCTCCACATGATTTTGGTGAAGTTTTCTAATAATAAACCAATAAAATATAAGAATTGTCTTGCCAACTTATGGCTCTGAAAAGCCCAATGCAAAAATCATGAGCTTTTTGTAAGTCATTGTGGATGGAATTCTAGGACTCATTTTGAAAAGACTCTTAAAAGAGGGGAACTTTGGTGAGTTCTAAATTTTAACTTCCCAAAATTCTAGCAAGAAATTATCTTCAATTCCAAAGCACTTCTCAAAAGTCAAAGTAAGCTTGAAAAATATTTAAAACAATATGCAAGCATATCTTCTAAAGTTGGTTTCTGTAAAGTCCATCCATGTGATGGACTTTCAACTCGGAACTCATGCCAATAACTAGTGAAGTCCTCCAATTACTATGGAAAAAGAAAACTGAGATCCAATTCATAACTGTCCAGAGGTTTGCATAATATCTTCCAAAGTTTGTCATATGCTGAATAAACAAATAAGTAAACCAGATAAAATCCTCAGTTCAAGCTTTTGCTTGCATTTGTGAACATAAAAATTTCCTAACATAAAAGCGAATTTGAGACTTCAGACAAGAACTAAATGGTTTTTACTGCATAAAATTAATTGCACCGGATTATAAAAGGCACTACATATTACAATATCATGGTTTACATATCAGTTATATAACCATTTCTTATCTCTAAGAGACAAAAATTTATACATCATCATACAAAAGATAAATGGAAGAATAACAATGTAACATACCCATGAAGAACTCAAACCAGTAATTATTCTCGATGGCATCCTTAAATTGTTTGACTTTTGCTTCATCAAGCTCAAGCTCACAAATGGCAGTCTTGTCCACAGGTTCTGCCAAAAAGAAAGATAATAAATGTCACCGTAGAGAAACACAACACTAAAGGCATGAGTTCAGAGATCAACATACACGTACTTTGGAATTTTATGTCAATCAGACTATCAATAAGCTCATTTCCACCCAATACCTCACCAAGACCGCCCCATTTGTGAGCAGCATTAACCGGTGAATGACAAAAGGGAAGACTATAATAATTGTATGTTTCTTGGGGGTTATTGTATGGCCCTACTTTATTCACCCACAAGGTGACCTGCTCATCAGGTTGATACTGCAGGAGAAAGGAAAAGGGTGTGTTAGAAAGCACTTTTAGCTAGTAAAGTAGTGAACCTTTTTCAATGTGGGTTAAGCACACTACAATAGGAAATATCAACAACAGGTGGTAATAACACCCCCACAGATTATTTTTGCATAAAGAAGAAGCACATGTTACACAGCATTGCTAACAAGTAGAAATAAAAAAAATATCCTAGTCTTGTAGAAATAAGTTAACACAGACCGAACATTGGAAGAGGTCTGTTTTGTGTTTTCTTTACTATTAAGATTCAAACAGAGCCTTATTTTTCTTTCGTGGACATGGCTTCGACGAGTAGACCTTAAGTAGCTCCCTTAACAAGCACAATGAGATCATAGTAGAATAGGTTATAAGAGGGATAGATAGACCAAAATAACTTAGCCTAATGTGGTCACAAAGGATTTGATTGCAATGGACTAGACAGCAAATGTATTCTTGGATCGAAAAGTATATTGGGAATAGGCTTAGTTTATTATTATTGTAGTGGAAAACACTTACTGCATAATTCATTGTCGAATTTTCTTTGGCTGTTTAAGGATAAAATCTCGTCAATTTTAGGTACATCAGGATAATTACCCCTTAAAATATGTCCCATCCGAAAAATTACACCCATTGATGTGTTACATTTATGAAATTACATTCCTGTCAACTCGACATTTGTGTCGAATCTGGCTTTGGGATTCCATTTTGTCACATTAGGGAACAAATCTTACTTCAATGGTAGTGTACAACCAACAACCTCAGCAGCAGATAAGCAAGTGATTGAGACATTCCGTGTTTTCAGCTTTTATTTTGAAATTTAAATGTGGCTCATTCTAACTTTCTCTTGAAGCAGCATTTCTGTTTCACAAGGAAGATCGCACAGTAAAATGCCACTAAATCTTAGCATGCCAGACAGTCCAGATGGACTAGCATTCTGTAAAGACATTCTTTTATGTGTTCCACAAGCTAGAGCACACTTTTGATACGTCAGTCATACTGCCATCTTCTAGCTACACTACCTCTGCCAAATCCTTAATAACCCCCCCCACCCCAAAAAAAAAAACCCCAACAACAACCTCCAAAAAATAAAATAAAATGAAATGAAGTAAAATGCTTTCAAGAAAACTGAAGAAACAAAAAAATACGAAATTCTAATACTGGTCAAACAAAAACACTTGCACTTCCCACGCAAAATTTAATATGTAAATGCTATGATAGGGTTTGAAGAAAGAAAGCGCGAAATATATTTAAATACATGAAAATTGTGATGTACCCTGTGATGGTGGCCGTAAAATAATTTTCAATTAAGGAGCCATCATTTACATTGGGTGAGCTACAAATCGAATCGCCCACAGAAAATTACTCGCGGTCGTTAATCACTCAGTAATAATTGTAAACAATAAACTTCACGATTAAAATGTCTTGAATCAGATCTGAACAATCTTAAGCCGCCGAAAAATAGGGTTTTTTTTTTCTGAAACAGATCGAGAGTGTACATTACCTTGTGATCGGATTCGGAGGCGAGCGCCAGGGAGAAGAAGAGGATAACGGCGGCGAGAAGAAGAGATAATCGGGCTGCAGACCTCATCTCATCGGGTGTGTGGACCAACGTTGATGGTGAAATTCAGGTGTCGGGTCGATCGCATCAAGCTCTGGGTTATATGTATGATTTGATAATCTCGTTCTTATTCAGTTCCGATTAGAATGTTCATCATACTTTATGCAGCCAAGTAGATTTTATATTAAGCCCTGCTTGCCCTTTGTTAAAATTATAATTTATTTTTCTCTCTTTTATCAATAACTGGTCGATGTCACGTGCATTGCACGATTATTATATTTAATGTGTTTTTATTAGCGTGATGTAAAAATTTTAGTTTTTTTGACATAATCCTAACATACTTTTAAAGTTTGAATTAAATTTTTTAACATGAATCTACTTATATATATCCCAACCTTTTTGTTTCTTGGCATTATTACACTTCCGAGTAATACAGAAGGCTTGGGATTGAGAAGTTGGTGGGGGTGTTCATGGCGGAGATGGCAGCGGCCACGGGTGGATGCATTTGAATAGGGGATGTTGCGAGGTGTTCAAGAGGACAAAGACGAGCGAATTTTATTTCTTTTATTTATCTATTTTTGGTATATGTTCTCTTACTTTGTTCAAGTTTGAGCCAAATTCGTCATATCATGTCAGTTTTAACGGAAAATTTTGGATGGAAATCGTATACATGGATCACAGACACCAATTTATAAATGATTGGGTATAGAAATGCCAAGAAACAGAGGTAGTATAGAAATGCAAACAGGGTAAAGGTTGGCAATAGCCACAATTAAGCCTATAGTACCAATGATGTAAGTAGTATTACTTGAACTTCTGTAAATATCTCTGCATTCCCTCTAGCTCGTTTTTCTTGCACTCTACAAGAGGAAAAAGGACTTATAAGTTGAAAAGCACATAATGGCAAAAAATGTCTCAACTAACAGAAACTAACTGTGGACTTACGAGCATTTCAGGGCCCAACATGATCTCTTCAATTAACTCTGCTAAAGGTTTGTCAGCACTATTTGGAACAAGTGCTGCAAATGCCGGAGGTTCCAATCCTACAGGAAAGAAACACTATTTTTCAAGTGTAGAATGTAAAGAATTGGAAAGTTTAAGAGCAATGGAAAGTTTTAAGTATTCCATGAAAAATTTAGTGATCAAAGAAATTTGAAACCCCAAAGTTCGACAAATTGATATAGAATCTGAAACTTGCCCCACAAGCACATAATTTATTCATTAGAGTACTTTCCCCTCAAGTATAAAATTGAACACAGTCTAATCTAAAATTCTAAATGAGTTAATACTACTTATGCAACTAAATGAAATATAATGCTCTATAATCTGTTATCCCTTCACCATACCATTGGACTTCTGCTGAGTTTCAACCTAACTCCATTAGCATCAAGCCATTGTTTGAATATCAAGAAAACATGGGATTAAAATGGATGTAAGAAACATGACAAAAGAGATTGTTTATGATTTAAACATTCATTTCGTTTCATTTTACATGACAAAAAGCTATAGAATTTGTTTCTATTTTAGCAGGAGAATAAGTACAGGGAAACCAGTTTTCCGCCGATTTCCTTTTCATTTTTCTCTATGAAACACATGATCCAAACAGAATCTAAAATTCTAGGATATTTTGAACTTAAAAAAAGTTAGATATTTGATAGATTTTTTTCTCGACGGACATTCTAGAATTTTATGAAGTTGAAATTTGTGAGAGTTCTTGCATGCTGTTCCAGTTTCAAACAGGACTGGAATTGATGTGGACAAAAATCTGGCATTCGATGAAATATAAAAAGCTAATGCATTCATTACCACTTTCTGGAAAGCTGTCAATAAACACCATCATCTCCTCTCCAGTAAGACCAGATAAGAAACATATTCGAGGCAGTGATTTTGCAATCTGCAAAGGTGAAGCAGCTTATTTTGACAATATTAGGTAAATCAGAGGCAACGTATAATTGTTCTGTGACGTCACCAGATGCAAAGCATGTCTGCATTTGGGATTATTCATTTTCTTAATGTGATAGATTGATTCAGTTCAAATAAATGATGATTTATCTCCTCTTATATGCATTCCCACCCTCTAAAAAAGATGACATTAACAAATGAAGAAAATAAAATGACATTTCACTAACCATATTCATATTAGAAGTAGAATATTCAGTCTTGAATCTGCAGGACACTTTATCTTTTGGTATAGCGCAGGGCACGTGTTGCATGCAGTAACGAACATCTAAAGCATCTCAAAGATTGCTACAAGAAGCCATACTTCACGATTTGTGCCAAGATTGCTGATGCATGGGATAACACCAAAGACATAAATGAATTAACAAGCTAATAAGCATTTTAATTTACATTAAACCAAGAATATACCTCTCTATTCACACAAAAATCCAAAATTGTGAATCGATTAAACAAAATTATAATTATCAGATAAAATCGAGGATATACCTCTCTATCCACTCGAAATCAAAATTTTGCATGTAGAATCTTGAATAAACAAAATCATAATCTGAGAAAAACGGTATGTCAAGATTTACCTCTCTATTCACGAGAATTTTGCACGAAAAGATTAATCACAGAAAAAACGAGAGAAGAATTGAAGAAGAAGTGAGAAGAAAATGATGATCATGAAGAAAGTTTCTGTCTGCAGAAAATGGGTTTGCATGGGGAAATGGCTTCACCGTCCTTTTGAGTAAGAAAAAATTGGTATGACTAATATCTACAATGAAATCATTGTTTTGTTACAGTAGAAGTCCGAACACTATTGCAACTACAGTTAATTTTATTCATCTTTCTATAAGTAGTTAGACACGTTCTCAAATAAATAAGATTACAAGAAATCCCAAAAAAAAAAAAAAAACCACTGTTTCAATCATTGAAATTGAAATAATGTAGTCCAAACAAGGTATAAATAATATTTTTATTGGTCAATTTATAATTGACTGTCCCAATATCTTTTTACAACAAACACGTTTTCTACAGGTTTGGCAAAGCTTAACCTTTATATGAAAAAAATTTACAAAATATTTAATTTATAAATAAATAGAAGTGAGTGATGGTATGAAAAGACATTATAAATAGATTAAAGTTTCTTTTTTGCTATAATTTCTATAAGCATCTTTTAAGTTTGTCACAATCCTAGTACTTAAAAGTTGTAGATCATGTAATTAGATAGATAATAATTTATGAAACTATGAAATATATGAATTAAAAATATGTCTAATCAACCTGAATTACAATTTAAACTTTTCCAAACATACTCTTAGTCACGAATATAGAAGTAAAATACTGTTACGGATAGATGACTTTTATTTGGAGAAGGATTTTGTATTTCAAGGATATCAAAATTTGGTTCCTATTCGTTGAGTGAGCCTTCTAAGATATTTTGATATAACTTAGCACATGTTTGATTTTGTTAAAATTTGAAATTTTAGTCGTTTTTTTATAATTAAAAAAAATTATGAAAAGTATTATTGAAAAAGTTGTGCATCATGTGAAACATATAATTAAAATCAACTATATAATTTTGATTTGGATGTTTATTGTGACACCCCGATCTTAGGCTTCGGGGGTCACGTACTAAACATAGTAACTTCTACCTTTGGTACATGTAAATACTCTTAAATAGAAGTATTACATGTTATAAAACTAATTTCAATTTGTTAAAATATCTCTCATGAAATTTAATGGCCAGCAGAAGTGCATGTCAACGTGGAATTAAACTTTAAAAAAAAAAGACTCGGTACTGCCACGGTTAGTTAGGGCAGCAAGTTCAACTATTTTTATAAAATTCATCCCAACTCCGTTTTCTATGAAATTTGTGACATTAGAAAGACAATTTCAAGTAGTTTCCTAGGTTAAAATATGAGAATTTTCCGAGATCATATAGTATGGACGTTTTACTGAAAACAGTGTAGTGTTGCACAGAAAATTCAAATTGACTCTTCAACGTTTAAAAATTCGTATCTCAGGCCACAGACATCCAAATTGAGTGATTATTCCTCCCATATTTAGAAAACTCAAAGAGAAAAGCAGCAGTATTTTTATATTCTCAAATGAATGTCTATAGAGTTAGAAATAATGTTTTGAAGATGACCCAGAAACTGCCCGGATTCTGCCCTTTTTTATCATTCAAGAAAAAGGTTGATAAAAACGTCTCTTAACATAACATGGAAGATATAATTACATAATTTACTTCCGGTACCATAGTAGATCATGTCTTATACAAGTTTTTATACAACACCATAAGAAAAACATTTGGAGAGCAGTTGAACAAACATGCAAAAAAACAAAACTTCGATGCAAAATAACCTTCGTCCTTAATCCATCATCGATTATGCCGACTGACTTCCACCAACTTCACATCTATGGATCTGAAAATTTAGTATAGGATACTATGAGTATAAAGAATACTCAGTAAGATACCATGCTTCGATTTAACATGTTAATATTACACAAAAGAATGCAATCAAACACATACTTGCACATTCCGGCTTGCCGGTGCTCTTCGGACTTGTCCTAAGGCATAGATATCTAACTTTGTGGACTTGTCCACGTCTTTCATATTATGGTTTTCATGCATAACTTAAACATAAATATTACCATAAAATCGTACCACTTAAGCATAGAAAATATCTTACAATAAAACTTGAAGAAATCTTGGTTGAAAAATGGATTGAGAATGCTAGACTTTTATCCTTTCTTCTTCACGTCAATTCCTTTCCAAAAACAAGTGATATCCTGATTTTTTTCTTCTTGCAAAGTAACTAAATGGCAGTAACATGTCTTAGTTAAATGTAAAAGGAGTAAAGGTGACTCTTAAACCATTGCCTACACGTGTGTTGCATGAATGCATTTCATAATCTTAACTTAACACCTCATGCTTAAGTTTAACACCTCAAACTTGCCTTAGCCACCTCCTACTTGCTTATTACTACAAAGATAACATTTATTCTCGGTCAAGTGGGGAAAAAATCTTTAGTAACTAGGTGTAAAATTTGATGTTTAATCCCAAACCCCTAATTAACTAATTTGGTAAACTTTTAATAAATCAACCAATGAAAATTTAGCAACCATTAATAATTTTGGCCATATTAAATTTTGAAAAGTTTAATTGCTATCCTAAAAATTAAATGAGCAAATTAAACGTGCATAAAATTTCGGAGTATACATTTATTTATTTATTTTTTAGTTA